GGGGTCTGAGCTGAGGGACACCCAGGACTCCTGTGTCTGCGCAGTCAGTCCTGTCCCTCCCAGGGCGGCCCTGTGAACACACCCAGTGTTGGGCAATCCCTGCGGGCGAGGGCATCCGGTGTATCACCACCGCAGCGCCCCTGCGTGGACAGTCCTCCAGCCAGGCACCTCAGGCCACACCTCCCCCAGGGGTGGCATCCGCAGGACACCAACGGTGTGCCCGAGGTCAGAGGTAAGAATGACAGGGTCACAGGGCCTACCCGCCTCGGGCCCTCAGGATGACCCCCGCTCCAGACTCTGTCGCCCACACAGACAAGCAACACCGCGCCTGTCCCTGACCAGCCACTGAGGACCCGCACAGGCCCAGTCGGGCCTAGAAACAGCGTCAACGCCACAGCACCCTGGGGACCTGGCCCCTCGGCCCTCACTGAACCCAGCTCTCAGGATAACTCCTTCACTTTCCAGCCTCCTTCAGTCACGGAAGACCCACTTCTACCCAACCCTGCCAGCCTGCATCCAGTGCAAAGCCCTCCCCTGACCTGGAGCCAGCACCACAGGGACCAGCCTGCCCTGCCCAGCCCTGCCTGCTTCCCTCACAGCCCGCACACCGTGCATCTGCCCTTGATGCACGCAAGCCCCCAGCCCCGGGACATCTGTTCTCTCCACTGTGCCGTCTCGCGTCGGGAAGGGGGCTGGCTGGGACCCTGGTGAGTCGCTGGGCCCAGAGAAGGAACAGACTTGCCTATGGGATCACCCAGGGGTCCTCACCAATCACGACATCCACGGGCAGCTGGGCCAGCAGGGACCCGATGGGAGTGAGGCTCTCAGAGCTGTCCAGAGCTCCCTGGTCCTGGAGATACAGGATGGCGGTTTCCAGGCTGGCTGGTGGGGGGGGCTCAATGAAGGGGAAGGTTCGGGGGTTCCCCACGCTCATACTCTTCATCTGGAATGAGACAGAAGCCCCACCCCGAGACCAGGGAACACATGAGCCACGATGGAGCATGGACAGGTGTTGCTCAGTGTGGGGAGCAACCCGGACTAGACTAAGTTACTGGAATTAAGACTTATTCTATGCATCTGCTCTCCCACAATATGGCGCTGGGAGAGGAGGAAACAGCTTCTACACAGCTGCCTCTTGCCAACTTGAGTGATGACCTCCAGGAGCTGATCCTGCTCCTGATTGGAGGAGAGCAGCATACTCGGCGTGTGGGTAGCAGAGTTGGGATTGGTGGAAGAGGACTATAAAGGAGGAGAGAGACAACATGCACCAGGAACATCTAGGGGGAACATCTATCTGAGGGAACACCTGTGCAGCCCCCGAGAGAGCCGGCCGCCGGCGGTGTGCCGCTCCCCTGCGGAAGTGGGGAAAGTGGCCAGGGGGAACCGCCCTTCCACGGAGGTGGAAGGGTCGGTAGCCAACCCGGGAAGAACCAGCAGCAAACCCGGGAAGGGCCGAGCAGACAAAAGAACAGCGCAGGGTCCTGTGTCGTTCCTCCACGAAGAGGGGGAGCGACAGCTCAGGAGTCGCAAACACATGAAACTTCAAACCCCCAGCTGAGGCCCACAGCGAGGAGCCAGGGGAAAGTCCACTGTGTGTCTCCGTGCGTCTGCCCAGCACATCTGACCACAGTAGAGGAGCCCATGATCCCAGCTGGACCAGTCACAGCTCCTGGGCTCTGGGTCACAGCAACTATGAAATGAACAAATGAGCGGGGCAGAGTCAATTGGAATCCTTCCCTGGGACTCTGCAAACTGGAGCTGAGATATGGGGGCTCTGGCATCTCCTGTGGTTGTGAGTGGTCAGGATGGAAGCCACTGCCTGGAAATCCACGCATCCGCCACAAGCCCAGGAGTCTTGGGCCCGTTTCTAAGGTAGACATGGCCCACCCCCCGCCCCGCTGCCGCAATCACACACAAATTGATAAAACTTCCCTTCCTGTGATAGTGTGAGTCGTGTTTCTCTCACTTGCTACCGAAGGAATCATGATTAATTCAGAGGCCCAGGTGGGCAGTGGGGGTGTGGAGAAGAGACAGCATGGCCACTACTGGGCCTGGCACACGGACAGACGCCGACGGTGAAGGTAGGCTTGGGGGCACCACAGCTCATACGACCGTGAGAGAGAAGCAAGCTCACCTGGCCCTGGTCCCTGGCACAGTTCTGGCTGTTTTCCTGGCAACCAGCTGTCCCAACTTCTTCCTGCCAACTAAGCCCTGATGCCTGGGAGAGTGTCCAGTGCTCACTAAGAGACACATTGCTTTTCCTTTTTGTTTCAGGTGACCCCAACATGCAGCTGGGGCTGACCATTACTGTTCTGAACCAGCTGGGCGAGGCCACGCCCCTGCCTCAGACAATGACGGGTTACAGACTGGACACGTGACCCCATCCCGTCAACAAGACAGGATGTGAGACTGGCCAGGGGCTTCCGAGAAAGGCTCCCATGGCCCGACTCGGCGCTTGCCAGCTGAGTGCCCAGAACAAGGTGCTTCACCCCTGCGCACTCTGCCCTCAGCTGTAAAGGGGACATGGAGATCCCCGACCCCATGGAGGCTGCGTGAGGATCACAACAGTTACATCCAAAACACTCACAACGCTGCTTAGCCAAAGAAAGCCCTGGGTAAGGACATTCTAATTTTACTTTTAATTGCTGATGAGAGACAGCACATTTATCCACTGGTTTACACCCCCAATGCCCATAACACCCAAGGGTGCAGAACTCGATCCAGGTCTCCCAGGTGGGTGGCAGGAAGCCAACTGCTTAGACCATCCCAGCTGTCTTCCAGGGTGTGCAGCATCAGGAAGCCAGAGTCAGGAGCCAGCCCTGGGGACCCCACCCAGGTGCTCCCACGTGGGACCTGCGCATCCTAAATGGCATCTTAAGTGGTAGGCTCCTCCTCCTCCTCACTGGGAGCTGTGCCAAACTGGCTGGAAAGCTGAGAAGAACCTAGTCCTTGGCGACACCGTTCGCTGATCCCCCAACCTAAGCCCGGGGCCCCTGCCTCATGGCCTCTCGTTGTGACACGGCAGACATCCTGCACCGTGCGGTCAGGCTGTGAGTCACCAGCGGGTCAGAAATCCACCCAGTGGGTCACAATCAGCCTTTTTTATTTCCATCGAAACCAAACAGAACAGAAAGCACCAGCACGCACCACTGTCAGCAGGGCGCTGGCTCGTGCTCCTCGCACGTCACGCTCTTCCCCACTCTCTTCCTCCTGAGCACTTCCCAGCGGCCCTCTCGGTGAGGGGTGGCCCAGTGACCGGGCTCCACAGGGGAAGTGTGTGGAAGGGACGCGCACCCCTGCAGGGGCCTGGCCCACACTCTCCCGCACTCATGTCCCAGGCTCCCCACCACCCACCCCTCCCAAACCAGCCCCCCTGCAGACGCAGAGGGAAGGAACCGAAGCCGCTGTGCCGGCCCCTGGTGACGGGCTCTGGCTGTCAGGCAGCCTCGGGACATAAAGTGTACTGAGCACCGCTCCCCGCCTGGAACCCCCTGCCCTGGGGCTGGGGCTCCCTGTTACAGAAGCAGGTACTACTGTGGGGTTTCCCATCACAGCCGAGAGCATTCTGACCCCACCCCACCCCCCCAGGAGCAGTCTGACATGTGGAAGGAAGAGCTCCCTCAGTCTCGCCAGCCCTGCCCTTCCTGGCCCCGACACGCTGGGAATGGTCCTGTCTACACCCGCTGCGTTCTCGCCTGGCACCTGCCCTCCCTGCCCACGTCTCACCTGCAGCACCAGCGCGTCCAGAGCCACCCTCCGAATTTCTGGAACGGGGTAGGGTGCGAAGGCATCGTAGTCTGACTCAGCGTAGAGGCGGAAGCAGACCCCGGGGCCCGTGCGGCCTGCCCGGCCCTTGCGCTGCTCGGCGCTGGCCTGACTGATCCAGAACTCCTGCAGCCTCTGCAGTTTGGCCTGCGGGTCATAGCTCATCTCCTTCACTTTGCCTGGGTGAGAGCAGGGAGGCCAGGAGGGAAACGCGTGTGTGGACGTGCGCACTGTAGCACACGTGGCTGTACACACACCTGGCGGCCAACCATTCGCTTGGTCACCTGCACCCACTCCTCACCCCATCGACACCAGCCGGCAGCTGTGATGGGCCAGCCCTGAAACCTCCTCTCTCTCACTTCCTTTCCCAAGCCTCGCGTCTTCAGAGGAGCGCTCATCCTACACCTCTGCTGAGCTCCCAGCCAGGCACCACGCAGCACCAGGCACGGGAGTGCCAGCCGTGGACGAGACAAAGGCCCTGGCCTCACAGGGCCGAGCAGAACGCCCCACCCACCCTAAGCCCAAGCTGTGTCTGAAAGCGGAGCAGCCTCAAATCCGGGCACCACAGCTCCTGTGGCAGCACCGAAGGCCCTCTCGGCGGCACGAGAAGGCGGGCGTGTTCCCATCAGCACACCCAAGGTGGCTCTGTTATTGCCGCACTCAGTCAAGTCACCCCGGGCCAGCTGCCACCACGTACACCCATGCGTATGAACTCACTCCGTCCTTATGACCTGGCCAGGGTAGCACCATGGGACAGGTGAGCAAAGCAACACAGGCAGTGCCAGTGACTTGATCCTGGTGACACAGACAGCAGTGACCAGGCCAGGCTGGCCGGTGTCGCCTCACCACCAGGCCACGCTGACTTTCCAGTACCTTCCAGTCAGAAGGAAGACAGAACAGAGAGCAACAGCCAGAGAACCCAACACCAGGCTCTCGGCAGCGAAGCAGCAGTGGGAGGAGAGGGTGCCTCTGAGAGTGAATGGGGCCTCCAATGAGGGCAGGGAGGGAGCCATGTGGACACCTGGAGAGACAGCTCTCAGCAGCGAGATCAATGGTGCAAAGGCCCTGGGGTCTGAGAACATCAGGGGGCCAGCACTGTGGTGCAGGGGGTTAATGTCCTGAAGCGCCGGCACCCCATATGGGTGCTGGTTGGAGGCCTGGCTGCTCCTCTTCCCATCCAGCTCTCTGCAATGGCCTGGGAAAGCAGTAGAGGATGGCCCAAGTCCTTGGGTCCCTGCACCCATGTGGGAGACCTGGAAGAAGCTCCTGGCTTTGAATCGGCTCAGCTCTGGCCATCGCGGCCATTTGGGGAGTGAACCATCGGATGGAAGACCTCTCTCTCTCTGCCTCTCCTCTCTGTGTAACTCTGACTTTCAAATAAATAAATAAATCTTTTAAAAAAAAGAACATCTGAGAAAAATTAAGCGGCTGTCACTGCTCCACAGCCAAACCTCACCAACTCCCCACTTAGGTCTGGGGCTTCCCTGGCTGCACCCGCACATCTCCAGACTTCTTTCTAGGTTCCCACGGTGGGTGAGGCCAAGGGACGGCCCTTACCAGAATCAACCACAAAGCGGATCCCATCGATAGTGACCGAGGTCTCGGCGATATTGGTGGAGAGGATGCACTTCCGGACTCCAGGGGGTGCCACGTCAAACACCTGGGGGAGGGCGGTGGTGGCGTCAGAACTAACTTGACCCTCAATGAACTGTGTCCAGGGGCCCGTGTGTCTAACACAGCCTCAGCACCTCCACTAACCCCTCTTCCTCCACAGTCCCCCGCGCAGACGGCTCTGCACCACCCTCAGCCCTCAGCCCCACCAACCCGCCTTCGATATTTCCCCAGTCTCTGTCCCCTGCCCAAATCCCTGGCCTCTGGCTTCTGGTCTCACACCCTCCAATCCACCCCTCACAGAGCAAGCAGAGGGCTCTGCTAAAGCACAGCTGGTAGCGACCCCCAGCCCTGCTCAGAGCCCGCCCACAGCTCCCCAGTGCGCCGGGAGCGAAGCCGGGCACCACGCTGGGTCCTCGAGGTGCCTTGCAGGCCAGCCGCACGCAGCTTTCAGCCTCATCTCTGCTGATGCCCACTTCGCGATCCGGAACCCAGCTACACTGCACAGCTTTCCCGTTGATCCTTCTTTCTCTCGACCCAGGCCCTCCGCACAAGGCCTTCTGGGGTTAGGGTCAACAACTACGGCATGCGAGTCAAGCCCAGCTCACCAAGAAGCAGCACAGAAACCGAGAGCGAGACCCCTGCCTGCTGCTTCACTTCCCAAATGCCTGCAACAGCCAGGGCTGGGCCAGACTGGAGCCAGGAGGCAGGAACTCAGGGGCCCGAGTACTCGAGCCATCACCTGCTGCCTCCCAGGGTCTACGTAAGCAGTGGAGCTGGGACTTGAACCTAGGGATTCCAACATGGGATGTGGGCATCCCAAGTGGTGTCTCACAGCTACACCATGACCTAGCCTTTGTCATTTTTCTTTAAGAAATATTTACTTATCCATTCAAAAGCAGAGCAATAGAGACAGAAACAGATTCCCATCTGCTGATTCACTCCCCAAGTGGCTGCAACAGCAAAATCTGGGCGAGGCTGAAGCAAGGAGCCAAGAATCCCATCCTGGTCTCCCACGTGGGTGCAGGGGCCCAAGCACTTGGGCCACCTTCTGTTGCCTTCCCAGACACATCAGCAGGGAGCTGACTGGAAGTGGAGAAACTAGGACTTGAACCAGAATGCCGATACAGGATGCCAGCGTCCCAACTGGCAGCTTAACTCACTGGGCCACAACGCTGGCCCCTGCCACATTTGTCCAGTTTTACTAGAACACAGCTGCCCACACATGCGGTTTAGGGTTGCCTCTGCACTGCAGTAGTGAATCTGAGCAGCTGTGACAGAGCCTAGGGCCTACAAAGCTGAAAATATCTATTCTCTGGCCCTTTACAAACAATTTGTCAAACTCTGGCTAAGCGCGGGCTCTGGGTGTCCACCCTGACCTTGCTGGCTGTGGACCTCTGCACAGGTGCAACCCCACCGACCTGCACCTGCGAGCCACCTCGGTCCTCATGCAGCAGCCCCGCCCCTTCTCCCACAGACCCCACCTGCCCGGCTCCGCAAGGCTGCATGCCACACCTTGTCCTGGTCGGCCACAGAGAGCGCGCTGTGCAGCGGCAGCACCACCCAGCGCTGGGTGTGGCTGGCATAGGTCTGGGCGGCCTCCAGCACGGCGCTGATCTCCGCCATGCCGCTGAGGAAGACCAGGAGGTCCCCCCGCTCCTCGGGGGGGTACTTATTGTCAATGGCCTGCAGCACCCTCAGGAAAGGCCGTGGGTCCAGCTTCTCCGACTTGGATGTGGTCGGCTCTGCCTCCTGCGGCTGGTAGACCACCTGTGATGAGACAGCACAGAGCACACCTTGTCATGCCAGGCCTGAGTAACAAATGGGAAGACTGGGGGTAGGCAGACCTCAGGCTGCTGGGGAGATGCACACAGCACAACTCAAATGGGACCATTTTGGAGGACGTAATAAAAAGACCAAACAGCAAGGGAACTGGGACTTCTGGGAGGACAGTAATGTTTGCTTTTTACAAATCTGGGTGCTGGCCCCACAGACATATGTGATCTGTGAAAGTTAACTGAGCTGCACTGAGGGCCTGCCACTCAGTGCATCTCAAGCACGACTCCACTAAGCAAAAACACTCTCAGTGATGGAACCAGCACCCTTTACGGCTACAGAGGAGACAAATGGCTTTTAGAACCAGAAGCCACAGGGATGATGGAACCCTTCCGGCGAGCTCTGACTGCATGGTTTAGACAAGGCAGCCCCAGGAGGGCAGTTCTCAAAGGGGGTGGTTTTGCCACCTGGAGCAGGCTGGCGACACCTGGAGACCCTGGCAGTCGTCACAACTGAACAGCAGAATGCCATGAGCACACAGCAGGCAGAGGTCAGACGCCGAGTAGCCCGGGGCGCACAGGACAGGCCCAAGGTCAGTACCACTGACTGAGAAACCCTGCCCTGCGCAGACAGTAGAGCAGACAGAAAGAGCCTGGGTCCCTGAGTGACACACGGAACACACTTGCCCACCAGGCTGCAGCAGCTGGACTGTGAAACCACAGACAGAAACTTCATCTTGGCCAGTGCCGTGGCTCAATAGGTTAATACTCCACCTAGCGGCGCCGGCACACCGGGTTCTAGTCCCGGTTGGGGCGCCGGATTCTGTCCCGGTTGCCCCTCTTCCAGGCCAGCTCTCTGCTGTGGCCAGGGAGTGCAGTGGAGGATGGCCCAAGTGCTTGGGTCCTGCACCCGCATGGGAGACCAGGAGAAGCACCTGGCTCCTGGCTTCGGATCAGCGCGGTGCGCTGGCCACAGCACGCCCGCAGCAGCGGCCATTGGAGGGTGAACCAACGGCAAAAGGAAGACCTTTCTCTCTGTCTCTTGTCTCTCTCTCTCACACTATCCACTCTGCCTGTCAAAAAAAAAAAAAAAAAAAAAAAAAAAAAAAAACCTTCATCTTATCAGAGTCTATTTTTGGCTCACTCTGTCACCAGTCTGGCTCTTCCTCTGACAAGCACTTAGCTGTTTACCTGGGGCATTTTAAGTGGTCAGACCATGGGAGCCTTAATAGAGAAAATCCTTAACCAAACAGAGCAACGGAGAGGACAGACAGGTCCGGGTGGCCAGGGGGCGGGGTGGGGGCTGCGGAAGCACCAACCGTGATGGGGAACAGCCTCCCGGGCACCTGCACCACAGGGGCATTGCCGAAGTAGCTGGAGAAGAGCGAGATGTTGATGGTGGCCGACATGAGGATGACCTTGAGGTCAGGCCGCTGGGGCAGCAGGCGGCGCAGGACACCCAGCAGGAAGTCATTGTGGAGGTGCCGCTCATGGACTTCATCCACAATCAGAACCTCGTACTGCGGCAGGCTGGGTTCCCGCTGGATTTGCCGCAAGAGCAGCCCCACGGTCAGGAACACAATCTTGGTGGCGGCAGAACGCGTGCTCTCAAAGCGGATCTGGTAGCCGACCTGGGGCAGGAGGGAAAGGCATGATCAGCAGGGACTCTGGGCCTGGCACCAGCCCCTCATCCCGTCCACACCAGAAATGCCTGCTTGTCAGACTCCAAGGTCCAGTGGGCTTGGGAGAAGACCCCCACCTGTACCACTTGGTGGTGTTGACCTTGGGCAAGTCCAATTCCAAGTATATCCCTTAACGACCTCTTTTTTGGGGGCAGCATTATAGCATAGCAGGTAAAGCTGACGCCTGCAATGCTGGCATCCCATATGGGCAATGCTTCAAGTCCCAGCTGCTCCACTTCTGACCCAGCTCCCTGCTAATGTGCCTGGGAAAGCAGCAGCAGGTGACCCAAGTCCTTGGGCCCATGCACCCATGTGGAAAACCTGAAAGAAGCTCCTAGCTCCTAGCTTCAGACCAGCCTAGCTCCAGCCATTGCAGCCATTTGGGAAGTGAACCAGAGAATGGAAGATCTGTCTCCTCTTTCTGAAAAAAAAAAAAAAAAAAAAACTATCTTTCAAATAAATAAATCTTAAAAAAAAAGTTATTTTCCTCTCCTAGATGCTGTGAGATTTCACATGGCAATGCCAATAAGGCTTGTGGCATGGAACTCTGTGTATGTTAATCATACTAGTAATTTCTTGAAGTTTATTTATTTACTTGAAAGGCAGAGTGACAGACACACACACACACACACACACACACACACATCTTCCATCCACAGGTTTGCTCTCCAAATGCCAACAACAGCCAGGGCTGGGCCAGACCAAAGCCAAGGGCCAGGAACTCCATCCAGGTCTCCTCTGTGGGTAGCAGGGGCCTGAGGACTTGAGCCATCACCTGCTGCCTCCCAGAGCACACATAAGCAGGAAGCTGAAACAGAAGAAGAGGCGGGACTTGATCCCAGAAACTCCAGATGGAATATTCAATTCTCAAGCAGTACTTAACCCACTGAGCCACAACACCACCCCAAAACATCAAAGTCTTTAGAAAAAAACAAACAGGAAAATATAGTCATGGCCTTCACATAGGCAGGTTTCTTAAAAAGAACTACATGTAAATGAAAAGACACCAGTAATGGAGTGAATGGCAACTCGTAGAGCAAGAGACAAGACCTGCAACACAGAAATCACACAAAGAACTCATGTCCAAAATCTACAAAGATCTATATAAATCAAGAACAACGCAAAGGACAAACGGGACAAAGACGTGAACAGGCACTGTGCCAAGGAGGGTCTCCAAAGGGCCCACAGGCAGATGTAGAGGTTCTTGGTCATCAGGGAACAGCCCAGCAGAATGGGAGCACCCATCAGAGAAGCTGAGGCAGGGCTGGTGCTGTGGAGGTAAAGCCGCAACCTGCAGTGCTGGTATCTCATATGGGCGCTGGTTCTATTCCCGGTTGCTTCACTTCCCATCCAGCTCTCTGCTGTGGCCTGGGAAAGCAGCAGAAGATGGCCCAAGTCCTTGGGCCTCTGCACATGCACGGGAGACCCCTAAGAAGCTCCAGGTTCCTGGCTTCGGATCAGCCCAGCTCTGGCCATTGCAGCCCAAATGGGCGCCAGTTTGTGTTCTGGTTGCTCCTCTTCCGATCCAGCTCTCTGTTGTGGCCTGGGAAGCAGTGGAAGATGGCTAAGTTCTTGGGCCCTGCACCCACACAGGAGACCTGGAAGAAGCTCCTGGCTCCTAGCTTTGGATCTGTGCAGCTCCAGCCAATGTGGCCATTTGGGGAAAAGACCTTTCTTTCTTTCTCTGCCTCCCTGTCTGTAACTCTACCTCTCAAATGAATAAATAAAATCTTTAAAAGAGGGCCGGCGCCGTGGCTCAATAGGCTAATCCTCCACCTGCGGCGCCGGCACACCGGGTTCTAGTCCCGGTCGGGGCGCCGGATTCTGTCCCGGTTGCCCCTCTTCCAGGCCAGCTCTCTGCTATGGCCCGGGAGTGCAGTGGAGGATGGCCCAGGTGCTTGGGCCCTGCACCCCATGGGAGACCAGGAAAAGCACCTGGATCCTGGCTCCTGCCATCAGATCAGCGCGGTGCGCCGGCTGCAGCGGCGGCCATTGGAGGGTGAACCAACGGCAAAGGAAGACCTTTCTCTCTCTGTCTCTCTCTCTCACTGTCCACTCTGCCTGTCAAAAAAAAAAAAAAATCTTTAAAAGAAAATAAAGTACCCTTATTAATGAATTTCTGTATGACTGCTAAAATTGATGAGGTTTTAATGTGTTCCCTTTTTCTGGTGTGCTATTAAAAGTGCTACACTGGATCAAAGCTAGTGCCTTTGTCTTCTGGCCATACACAAGCCAATCTGCAAAGTTCTAGAAGACTCCTCACTAGGTCAAAGGGTGAGTGCTCCACTTCTATTGAAATCGCCACATGCAGAAGCAACTGCTCCCACGGTCAGCTGGAAGCTCAGCGTCCTGGCTGGCCGGTCCCACTCACCTTCGAGCCGTACTGACTGAGGCTCTCGAAGCCCACACGCTTGGCCAGGGAGATGCAGGCAATTCTCCGGGGCTGGGTGCAGGCCACGTGACTGAAGCCAGCGGCCAGTAGGTACTGGGGCACCTGAGTGGACTTGCCGCAGCCGGTGTCGCCGGCCACCACCACCACCTGGTGCTCCTTCAGGGTCCGCAGGATGCGTTTCTCGTACTGAGCAATGGGAAGCGCCGCCCGCTCGCGCTGCAGTTTCGCCAGCCGCGCAAACGCCTGCTTCTGGCTGAAGTCCAGGTAGTGCAGCAGGGCGCGGCGGAACTCGGACGCTCTCTCCGGGGGCAGGCACCGGCCCAGCTCCCGAGAGCCCCGCGTGTCAGGGCCGAGGACGGAGAGGTTGATGCGGTAACGTGGGTCGTAAGCGCGAGGGAGGTCAGCCAGCGCCGGGATGCTGTGTGTGGGATGCCCGGGGTCTGCCTCCTCCTGCCTGGAGGCCTTGAGGCTCCGGAATCTCTGCAGGCGCTCAAAGAAGGCCCAGAACCTCTGGCACTCCTCAGAACCCTGCCGGATGGGGTCCTCCCCCCGGAAGAAGGCATCCTCCAGGAGGCGCCGCGTCTCCGGGCAGCTCCAGTCCCACTTCTCCGGGGCCTCTTCCTCACTGGGAGCCCGACGGTGGTCTCTGTGGTCCCTGGCATCCCTCGTCCTGGGAGGGGGCATGCTGCCAGTCACACCACTGTCCCCAAACTGGTCTCAGCGCTGACCACGCAGACGGCATAGGGCTCATCCGCTCCCCACCCACGGCAGTGAGGGGCCGGTGCCTGCGCCAAGAAAGCACGTGCTCCCCAAAGAGCCACCAGTCTTCCCGGGTCGCGGTGCAGGGTCACCCCGGGCGGCAGAGAGCATGGCCCGGGGCCTGGCTGGGCCGGCGACACACAGGGCACTTCTGAATGCTGCTGCGATCCGTGATGGCCGAGTTCAGCCTGGGTTGTCAGGCCCTGGAAGCTGGGGGGAGAGAGGACAGACAGTCACTCACGCTCACAAACGCTTCCGGAAAGCCCGCTCTGGACTAGAATAGGGGTAGCGAATGAGAACACTGGGGCGACACACGGTGGCACCCCAGGAATGGAGACTGGGACTACGGAGGGAAACCAGGGAGCCCCAAAGAGGCACCTGCCCAGGCCCGGCGGGCAGGGACGAGACCCTTGGGCACCGCCAATCAACAGCACAGCCTTCTCAGGGGAGGGGGCTACACGGAAAAGAACGCGATCCGGACGCCATCTCCCGAATCCTTCCATTCCCAGAGGTCTGCAGCCTTCACGACCCCTCAGCCTACGGCTTCCTCAGCTCTTGGTGTACAGGGGCCCTTCCATGAGTTCGTGGAAACTGGAATTAACCCATCGGTGTATTTCGGTGCAAAAGCAACTTTGAAATCCACGCATGGCTTTTCCATGACGCACACTCCCTACGAAACTTCGTATAAACTTTGGAACTTCCTGGCGCCAAAACACGCCAGTCTGTTCATCCCACGCCTCCGCGGACTTTTCCAAGTCGTCACGTCCGCACACCTGCTGCCCCGCAGCCCCAGGCAGGTGCCGTCCTCACGCCCGGCCCGGCCCGGCCCGGCCGCGCCCCCAGGGCTTCAGTCGTAAAGCGGCCGAGCAGGGAGGGAGTCAGTGTCAGGTCTCGGCCCGGCTCTCCCCCGGTTGACGGTCCTCAGCCTGGCCCAGGGCCTCGCTGCCCACGGCTCCGCGTCTCCGGGAACGGGGCGCCCCCATTTCTCGGTCTCTCTGGCTGGAACGAGACGAGAGCTCGCCCTAGTTTTCAAATCGTCTCCCTGCCCCTCCGGTTCCGCGACTCCATGTCCGGCTCCTTCGGCCCCTAGGTTCTCCCCGGGATGCTCAAACTCCACCTGTCCGCGTCGGCCAGCCCCGTCAGCTTCCTCCCACTCTCCTCACCGCGCGACCCGCCTCCCCGCTCGGCGCTCTCCCAGCCCATGTCAGGGCCCGGACCCACGCGCGTCCCACGCCCCTCACCGCACCAATCGCCGCCAACGCATCAACTTCCGGTCCGCGCACTCCTCGCGCGCCCGCAGCCGGTCCTGCGCCTGTGCACACCGCCCTCTCGGCCAGACCCCGCCCCCCGCAAACACAGGGCCCAATCAGGAGGTGTGGGCGGGCCAAGGCCCACACTGCGCCGGCGCACAGCGCAGTCCCTCACCGCCCCGCTCTGGGCGGAGCCTCGGACGACCCTGCGCCCTCTAGGGGCCGGTGGAGGTATTGAGACGGAGACTTGAGTTTCCGTGGCTTTGCTGTCGCGGGCGCCCCGGATTATCGGACGCTGGGGTTTTCACCCGAAGAGGGATCTTCCGGGGCCCCGGGCACTATTAAAACCGTCCCGCCATCACCCGTTAGTGTATGAGTCATTAATAAATGATACAGAGTAAAGTCCCCGAGAAGGCGCGGTTTGGGTCTTGCCTGGGATTTCCTACCCCCACAGTGTCTGGGGGTCAGCGTGTGTTTGTTGAATGAGTATTAAATGAATGAGCAAAGCGAGTCCTCTGCCTTGCAAGGAAGCAGCACTATAAGGTACATGCGGAAATTTCGGGGTGCTTCTAGAACACACTTTTCAGGTGGCAGAATTTCCCACGTGCTCAAAGCCGCGTGAGAAGGCAGATGGCTGAAAACATCTTCAAAGAATAGAACAAGGAGACTTCCGTCCTAAATGAGCCGGTCATTTATAGCAGAATTACCTACGTTTCAAGGTTGTTGGGGAAAACAAGTGAAAAAGTCTATGTAAGGTGCATGAATGGGTCTTTTTGCCATACCTACAGATACTCAAGAAATGTGTATAAATTGTAATTAAAGGACTCATTTCAGGGAAAAAAAAGAGTTATGTGGTGGGGCCGGCGCTTTGGTGTAGCAGATAAAGCTGCCGCCTGCAGGGCCGGCGTCCCATATGGGCGCCAGTTCAAGTCCTGGTTGCTCCACTTCCGGTCCAGCTCTCTGCTGTGGCCTGGGAAAGCAGTAGAAGATGGCCCCAGTCCTTGGGCCCCTACACCCGCGTGGGAGACCCGGAAGAGGCTCCTGGCTTCAGATCAGCTCAGCTTTGGCTGTTGCTGAACAAAACAGATGCCCCCAGGAGTTCAGATCTTCCTGGGGGAGACAGAAATAGATGCAAAAAAAAAAAAAAATTCTGATGGCAAGAAGTGCCACCTGCCCGGAGCAAGCTGGGTGGAAAGCAGGCTATTTTGAGCAGCGCAGTGGGAGAACTCTGATGAGGGTGTCGGAGCAGGAGCTGCTGGAAGGGAGGCAGCCAGCCAGGCGGCGGGGACACAGCCGAGCTGGGGACTGCAAAGCTGAGTCCGAGGTGGCACCGGCTGGGTGGTTCAGGGAACGCCAGGCAGGGGCTGCAAGGGGTCCTGTGCACGGGGGTGCCACCCGATGAGCAGCCTCAGCCGGAGCTAATCCGAGGAAACCTTGAGTCGCTTGTGCCAATACATTGAGGGGACGCCAGGGTCCCCTAAGGAAATGGCCTCCCTACACAGCAGCCTGCCAGGGCTCTCGCAGCTAAGGGTCGGGGAGCGCCCAGCCCGGGGAACAGAGCGGCCGAGGAGGGCTCTTCCTGCTCACACTGTGTCCGATCATGGTGACGATGGCCTGCATCCCGCATGGGAGGGCCTGGGTTCAAGTCCTGATGCCAGCTTATTGCTAAAGCACCCCTGGGGGGCAGTGGCTGGTGGCTCCGGTGACTGGGCCCCTGCCGCCTGTGTGGGAGACCAGGATTGAGTTTCTGGCTCCCAGCTTCAGCCTGGCCCAGCGCCGGTTCTACTGGACTTTTGGGGACTGAACCAATGTTTCTGGAACATTCTGTGACCAGCACGCTCAAGGGACTGACTGTCTAGATGCTCTGCTCGTGTCCCGGGGCCTGACTCTTGCCTCTCACTCTGAGATGCCGGAGGGAAGAAGGGAAGAATAGCAGGGCACGGGGAGGGAGAGGGGCTCGTGTGGTCGCTACACCAAAGGAGGCGGCAGCCTCGGAATGGATTCGAGATGTGCTCTGACCTCAATTTTAACTGTTACGTAGATCTTTAAAAAAAAAAAAAAAATTAGCCTAGTGTTGCGGCAGTGCTGGTGAAGCGTCTGCCTGCAGTGCTGGTTCAAGTCCCAGCTGCTCCACTTCCCGTCCCGCTCCCTCGGGATGCGCCTGGGAAGGGAACAGAACATGGCTCAAGTACGTGGGCTCCTGCACCTGCGTGGGAGATCAGGAAGAGGCTCCTGGCTTCGGATCGGCCCAGCTCTGGCCATTGTGGCCATTTGGGGTGTGAACCAACAGGTGGAAGATCTCTCTCTCTCTCTCTCTCTCTCTCTCTCTCTCCCCTTCTGTCTCTCCCCCCCCCGTCTCACTCTCTCTCTCTCTCCCCCTTTCTCTCTCTCTCTCTCTCTCTGGCTCTACCTTTCAAATAAATAAATCAATCTTTTAAAAACAATATTTATTTATCTGAAGGGGAGAGTGATGGGGGGAGATATCTCGCTCTTCCATCTCTTGGTTCGCTCCCCAGATGGCTGCCACAGCTGAGGCTGGTCCAGGTTGAAGCTCCATCCGGGTCTCCCAAGTGGGTGGCAGGAAATCCATGGATTTCCCAGGCACATCAGCAGCGAGCTGGATCAGAAGCAGAGCAGATGGGACCTGAACCAGTGCTCTGAGATGGAATGCTGGCATCGAAGGCAGCTGCTTAGCCCGCTGCCCCACAATGCCAGTCCCTAGGAGAAATGGAGAGAGACAGACAGACAGACGGACAGATGGACAAAGCTGCCATATGGGCACTCAGGGACAGCTGGGACTGGGATACGCTACAGCTGGGAGCCAGGATCTACATCCAGGTCTCCCACATGAGTGACAGGGACTCAACCTGCCACCTCCTGAGGTCCGTATGAGCAGGAAGCTGGAGCTAGGCCCTCCAACGTGGGACGCAGGTGCCAGCCGATGTCTTTTTTTTTTTGACAGGCAGAGTAGAAAGTGAGAGAGAGAGAGAGAGAGAGAGAAAGGTCTTCCTTTTCCCCCCAATGGCTGCTGCGGCCGGCGCACCACGCTGATCCGATGGCAGGAGCCAGGTGCTTCTCCTGGTCTCCCATGGGGTGCCGGGCCCAAGCACTTGGGCCATCCTCCACTGCACTCCCTGGCCACAGCAGAGAGCTGGCCTGGAAGAGGGGCAACCAGGACAGAATCCGGCGCCCTGACCGGGACTAGAACCCGGGGTGCCGGCGCCGCAGGTGGAGGATTAGCCTAGTGAGCCGCGGCGCCGGCCAAGCCGATGTCTTCACCCCTGGGCCAGACGCCTGCCCCGATGTGGTGTAACGGAATCCTCCGGTTCCCGTGTGGAAGCCAATCGGTAGGGGAGCAAGACAAGGCGGGGGCGAGAGGTGGGGAACAGGGTGTGGCGATGGCCGGGGTGGGGGGCGGCAGTGGCGGGGTTCTGCAGGTTGCTGGGAGGTAGAAGCCAAAGGAGGTGGCTGGCAGGTGGGAGCGAGGTTGCAGTTGACGCTGATGTTTGCAGCCTGAGCACCTAGAAGTGGGGATTGCCGTCTGCCCAGGGTCACCGAGTGGAGGGGGAAGGGCTCCGCTTCAGGCCTGACGAGTTTTCCACGCGTCAGATATCAAGGGAGGGTGTCAAGTGGCCAGCCGGACGTATGTAGCAGAGCTGAGGGACGGCTCAGAGAGAGAGGACAACGGATGCCACGGCCACGGGAAAAAGGAGAAACGGACTCAGCCTTCCGCTGACAGTGTCCCAACAAGGCTGCGATCTTAAAAAGAGGAGAATGGATGAAGCAGACAGCAGCTATGAGATCGAGAGAAAAACAACCCCAGGGCCAGCGCTGTGGCCCAGTGGGTTAAGCAGCCACCTGTGACACTGGCATCCTAGATGGGCGCTGCTTCAAGTCCTGGCCGCTCCACTCCCAGTCCAGCTCCCTGCTGATGCGCCTGGGGAAGCCGCGGAAGGTGGCCCAAGTGCACCCGCGTGGAAGACCCACAAGAAGTTCCTGGCTCCTGGCTTCGGACTGGCCCAGCTGCAGCTGTTGCAGCCATTTGGGGAGTGAACCAGTGGATGGAAGACCTCTCTCTCTCTCTCTCTCTGCCTCTGCCTCTCCCTCTCTGTAACTGTGCCTTTCAAATAAAAATAAATATATAAAAAAAAAATAAGGAGGAGGGGAGAATGTCACAACCTACCAACCAAAAGTTTGAGTAGAAAAACTGAATCCAGTTCTTGGAAAACCCATTATGACTAGTTCTTCAAAAACTTAAAGAAATTGGTATTTTATTGTTTAAAAAAAGTCCAAATCAAACAATACAAATAAACAAACTTAAGAACAACAAAGGAAGAATTACAACAAGCAACAAAAACAGACTTACACTAAATCTCTCAAGACGTAGATTTGACATGTGTTGCTGTGGATTCGTTCTGAGAGGAGAAGCGCGGTGGGGGCAAGAGGCGCGGAGTCACCACACAGACCCTGGGAGTCAGGTGAAAGCGGGCCAGAGG